CGAGTTAGTCGCGAAGATGCTGGCGTCGGTCAACTGACCGGACGCTGGATCTGAATGCACCGGACGCTGGTAGGCTGACGTACGATGACGCAGAAGCTAGAGTGTGACCGGACGCTGGCTGCGTCTGATCAAGTGTGACCGGATGCGTCCAGTCGAGGTCGATACCTTACTGGAAACGACCGGACGCTGGGGGTTCAGCGTCCGGTCAGTTGAAAGCTGCTGCGTCTGGTCAAGTCAAGTGACCGTTGGAACCGGGACACGTGGTCGTCATGGCGCGGCGACGGACGCTGAGGTCCAGCGTCCGGTCAACACGACCGAAGCGTCCGGTCGGCCCGACCGTTGCCCAGTGAAGGGGTAACGGCTAGTTTAGCCCTTGGGGCTATAAATAGAAGTGGCCCTCGGCCATGGCTGGTGCCGAGCACCTCAAGGGACTTAGTGTCCATGCTTGTGAGTGCTTGGGAGCCCTCTATCACACATATACTTGATAGTGATCATTCGATTGTGTGAGTGAGCGATTCTAGTGCGATTGCATCGTGAGGTTGCATCGAGTGGCACTAGGTGGTCGTGTTGCAAGCCGGTGGTGCTTGTTACTCTTGGAGGTTGCCACCTCCTAGATGGCTTGGTGGTGGCCTCCGTCGAAGCCCGCAAGAAGCTTGTGCGGCGCCCGGAGAAGTGCTTGTGAGGAGTACTTGTGTGCCTCGCTGAGGAGTCACGAAGAGCAACTTTAGTAAAGCGTGTCATTGAGCTACCCTCACTCAAGGGGTAGGTTCTTGCGGTGCTGACGTGCGGGCTTAGCGGGTGATGCTAATTAGCCGAACCACCAAGTGAGCGATCGACACAACGGGACTAGCGTGTTGGCAAACACGTGAACCTCGGGAGAAAAATCATCGTGTCAACCTTGTTCTTCCCATTGGTTTGCATCCCCATTACATAAGCTTGCAATTACTTTTATATATCTTAAGCTTGTGTAGTTGCTCTTGTAATTAGATAGCTTGTGTAGCTAGCTAATTACCTTCTTGCTTGTGTAGCATAGAAGTAGCTCCCTTGCGTGGCTAATTTGGTTTTAGTAACCTTGTTAGTCACATTGCTTAGTTTGTGTAGCTAAGTATTTGCGCTCTCTAATTAGGCGTTGGTTGCCTTGTTATTGAGCATTGCTAGTGAGCTTAGTTAGCTTTGTGCTTTTGCTTACTAGCATGTGTAGGAGCTCCCTTGTTACTTAAAGTACTAGTGGCATAGGTTTGTGTGACCTTGCTCCTAGAATTGTTTAGGAGAGCTCTAGCTAGCCCGGCACCTTAGTTGCTTTATTAGTATCTTTGCATGGTGTTAGTGAACATATATAGAGGGGTGTAGTCTTGGCTAGACCTATTGTTTTAATTCCGCATTTATATCGGTTAGTCGACGCGATTAATTTTAGAAAAGACTATTCACCCCCCCTCTAGTCCGCCATCTCGACCCTTCAAGTGCGCGCAATCATATTTGATCAAGAGGCATGCAAACATCACCAGCAACTAAGCCTAAGCCTAGAGCAAGCGCATATGAGCATGGTCTAACTAACCTAACCACTTCGCAAAGCCCCTACGCTAATCAAATGATCATTATGCCCTATGCAAATGGAGAGCACTAGAATGGAGTGTCACCTCCCCAGATATGTTCCTCAGCTTCTCCACACATCAAATGGCTAGTTGGGGCAAGTGATTATAGCCCCAAGTCGAAACGAGCCGTTGGAGGGGCTGCAGAAATTCTGCATGGGCACCTGCCACCTATGGTGTCCGGTGCGCCACACCTGACATGTCAGGTGTTTAGCCACATCGACTAGTTGTTAAACACTGAAAATGCGACCATTGGAGCCCTGTATTTGTGACCGATGCACTTGCCATGTGTGGTATCCGGTGCTATGGCCAGTGCGTTATGGGCTTCTCCAACTACGCTGCAACCTTCTCTGTGTGTCGTGTCCGGTGCACACTAGAGTGGTCAATGTTTCTTGGTTGCTTCTCCTCGCGCTGCAAACTCTCTGAGTGCCGTGACCGGTGCTCCGTATCCGGCTAGTGCACACAAGTGCAGCTAGTGCACTATTCCTTTATAGCCGTTGTCGTACCTGACACGTGTGGTGACCGGTGCTATGGCCGGTGCTCACATTTCAGCCCGACACACTTTCATATTTTGGGCATAACTATTAGCTCCGAACTCCCATTTTGATGATCTTGGACTTTTTGGAAAGCTAATGAAAAGCTCTACAACTCCAAACTGGTGTCATATATCAATTTGAGCTGATCCAAAATCATGAGACAGCTCCAATTCATTCACATTTTTATCTCGGCTTCAGTGACTTCAATTTTGTTCATGTCTTGGTCCGGGTTTCTTCATCTTCGCGTCTTGGACTCCTAGCTTTACTTCTAGGTTGATCACACATCCTCTAGTGTCTACCTTTGAGTATTGATCAATTCTTCACATTCCAATCTCGATCCAAGTTCGTAAGTGCATCCTGTTGAACTACAAAATATACACTTGCAAACACATTAGTCCAACTTAGTCTTGTTGTTCATCAAACACCAAAATCCGAACTAAATATCCTGATGGTCCATTTTCCTTACATACACTTTCTAGGCTATCCCATTGCCCAACCAGCAACCCATGACCCCTTGTCTCTCGCTACACCTCTTGCGTTCCTTGGCGGCATTGAGCTTACACACCATGCATGCACCCTCATCATTTAGCCCCTCTCACATCCTGCATCGATCTCGCCTTCTTCTACAGCTACCTCAAAAACTAAAGGATCGAACAACAAAGAGAAACAATGCGGAGGAAGCAATCAAGGGAGGCCTCAACTGGTGTGGCTCCAGCCACGGCTCGCGAGGGATGGGGGCACACTAAATCGGCGACCATAGCAGCTCATGCATGCCGAGGGAAGACCAGAGAAGAAGGTTGGAGAGAAAGGAGAAAGAGCTGGGAAAAAGAACATCTCCTCATCTTTCTCTCTCCTACTCAACCATGAAATATTATTTTAATGAGCGTTGGGTCTTTTAGCAAATTTGTCATGAATTAGAGTAGTGTTTAGTGGCCAATTAGACTTTTTGGACGTTCACTGACAACACGACATCAATTTCAATGCTCCGTAGCAAAATTACCTTTTGAATACTACTCTAGGGTAGAAATGTCCCCTAAGGCACTCGATCTAAATTCTGGGAGGAAAAACATGAGAAGCTATTGAATTACAATAGTGTATTGTAAAACTGCACCGTAACATTGCTCAATATACACTTTTTTAGAACACGGTACAGAATATATGGTTATATACATGTACGCACACAAATAAACCATGTAATGTAAAGACAATCACGCATACTATATTTAGCTAGTAGCACCTGTGAGAGTGTGCCACCCTCCTATTGTTAGTTATGCTTGTTTACACAATCGATGAATTGCGGTATCATCGATGTTTCTTCATTGATACTCCATCTGTTTCAAATTATAAAATGTTTTGATTTTTCTAGATACGTTGTATTTGCTATGCACATAGATATACACTATGTCTAGATACATAACACAAGTAATGTATCTAGAAAAACTAAAACGTCTTATAATTTTGAACGAATTAAATATCTATGAGTTGTGACAGTGATATTTCCCCGGCTTTGTGATATATTACCCTTCTTATGGCCGTCAGCCTGCAGGCCAACGTGATCCTATCCTCTCTCCAGCTGCCTTTGATGAGCACATCCTGCTTCGGTCCCTTGTTTCTTCAGGTGAGCTTCGTCTTCTTTCTTTACTCTGCACAACAATTCTCGCCTCCTCTCTTTGTTTTCTTTTCTAAGACATAAACTTGTGTCGTCTCCTCACCAAGCTATTTAATTTACTAATTACTATACCTCTGTTTAATTGTCACTATTGACTACCCTCTTCAAAATTTGATCACTTGATAACTTCTAAAATATTAGTTATGTAGGATGAATATGTGACTAATATATTTATATAAATAGTGTTACGGATCCATTCTAACTATAAATCATGACAAAAGGTAACACATGCATGGTTTCAGTATTAATTAAACAAAGTGTGTTAAATCAGTATACAGAAGACATAAAATGGTACTGCAATGCAAAATAAATCATAACATATGGCTAGAGGATTATACCCTTGAGCACGACCGGTGCCAGTGGCACCAGTGGCCACTATAACAGCCAAAAATACCGTCGAACCTGTGTTGGTAAAAGTACGTAAATTAGTGCTAGACGTGCTGATACTCAGGCCAGTACACATTGAACTTGTTTGGTTGCCAATATTATCTTGTATGCAGGCTTGTAGTGCAATTATTTATCTGTATTTGGTTATCTATAAAGCCTCTTATGCAAACTTACACACTGATCAAACTAGTTCTAATTTAATTAGCTAGTATGTCAGGTTTGGGCACATTAGGCAATGCAGTTTTGCACAAAGCAGATGGATCCACAAAAACAAACTATTATGACTCCTACTACCTCTGCTAGAGATGAGAGCTCTAATAGAACATGGAGGTAATGATATGCAATACAATAACGTAAGCAATCATACATAATTTTTTTGTACCAAACATAGCTTGGTTATACAGGACAACCAAACACCAAAATATTGTATACGTTTATGCTAGCTTGAGTTGTGTTGTATAAGGTGTAATAATGCGGGCTAAAGCAAATACAAGTAACCAATCATACCCAATCTGGTCGAGCTTGCATTGGTTGATGTAGACGAACCTGGTTGATGCAGTGACAATTAGCACAATGATTAGTCAAGCAGAAGTGCGCTCCAAAAAAACCTTATTTATCTAGAGATATATGCTACGTCCATCCACAACTTACAAGAAATAGGGTTATAATTTCATGTTTCGAACAAGTTTTCACTCAAAGTCAGAAGTACTTGAATGACAGTAGCGTGTTCCGTGGCTAGAACATCCATATATGTGTTTACGTGATTCCATCAACGTTTAGTTTTCAGCCTCCGAGCCGGCTGTGACACCGTTCGCCAGCATGTCTCCCCGCCTTATCATGCTCGTCGCCGTCCCCGCCGCCTTCAGCTTCGCGGCAGTCGGTCAGGATCTGAAAAGGTGCTCAACCACGGGAAACTACACACCGCCGGCAGCCAGTACGAACAGAACCTTAGAGCCTCGTGTCCACACTGTCGACCACGGCGGCCGCTAACGGCAAAGACGGCAGCTGGTTCGACAGCGACAGCGTGGGCACGGCGCCGGACCGGGCGTGGGGCCTCATCATGCGCTACGCCGACCACAGCGCAACGCAGTGCCGGGACTGCCCCCGGAAAGCGTCCCGTGAACACAGTAAGAGGATGACGACGTCCCAAAGACTCTTTGTTATGATACTATAGCACTGTACGTGTAGACGTCGAACGGCTCACCTATAGCACTATAGCCACATGCAGAGATCGACGCAGAGTCAGCCCTGTATGTTATCTAGTTACTGTTACAGCATGTGCGCTGTATTAGGACTAAATGGATAAAGTTGTATAAATAGACTACCACGACAACTCAGTAAAGAGAGTTCAGATTTGTCATCTCCCATACATGGCTTCGTCCAACGCTGGTGTCTTGTACTGTGTGTGTATGCTCTATTCTTCCTCTTCTTCAACCTCTAGGCATAGTGTGTGGGGACGGACAACGCTTGTTCATGGTCGGCTTAGCTAGTGGGTGCTCGGCAACACTAACGGGTGCTCGGCAAGACTGGTGAGTGGTTCACTCACCTGAGCCGGTGATCCTGTGGGCTAACAAGTGGTATCAGAGCCATACAAGCGTCGTCGCCAGACTAACCGCTGGCGATGACGGACGGTTCGGACATGGGCGACAACAGTGGCACTGTTGTGGCTGCCCAGCCACGACCGGAGGTCGTTGTTCGCACGGTGCGAAAGGTCAGCGGCATTAGTTGGCCGACGCTGACTCGCACCAACTATGAAGAGTGGTCGGTGACCATGAAGGTCAAGCTCAGAGCCCGACGGCTCTGGAATGTTGTTGACAAGGGCACCGATAATGAGGAAGATGACATGTCAGCGTTGGAGGCTATCCTCGCTGCTGTACCGGAGGAGTACAGGGAGCCGTTAGGGCGAAGAGCTTGGCTAAGGAGGCGTGGGAGGCTATTGCAGCGTTGCGCGTCAGTTCCGACCGCGCAAAGAAGGCGACGGCTCAACTTCTGAAACAGGAGTACGCCAACCTCAAGTTCAAGGATGGTAAAATGGTGGAGGACTTCTCTCTTCGCCTACAGACGCTTATCAGCAAGCTGAAGAGCCATGGCGTCACCATCGACGAAGAGAAGGCGGTCTTCAAGTACCTCCACTCCGTGCCGGCAAATTACATCCAAATCGCTCTCTCCATAGAGACGATGCTGGACTTGTCCACTCTCACCATTGAGGATGTGACAGTCCGTCTGCGGGCGGTGGACGAGCGCCTGGAGTGGGCGACAGCAACGAAGGACAGCAGCAAACTGCTGCTGACAGAAGAGGAGTGGGCTGCTCGGAGGAACTTCAGGAAGGTAGCCTCCTCCAGTCGCGGTGGCGATAGCAAGCGCCACGGCAAGGCTTCTTCGGAGAAAAGAAGCAGGTCGACCCCAACGCATGTCGACGCTGTGGGAAGATGGGTCATTGGGCACGGGAGTGCCCAAATCGTAAGCAGGAGAAAAAGGCTGAAGCTCATCTAGCGCAAGCTGATGATGAGGATGAGGCCACTATCCTGATGGCGACGTTCTGTGCACTGCACGACGTCGAGGCCGAGGAGAAGGAAGAGGCGACGACGGTGGAAGGACCTGAAGACTGTCAACCTCGACGAGCCACGCGCCCAAGTCTACCTTGGACGTGTGGGCGCCGACCAGGAGCAGCGGTGGTATCTGGACTCTGGTGCCAGCAACCACATGACGGGCTCCAAGGCATCCTTCTCTGAGATCGACGACGATGTTACCGGTACGATGAAGTTTGGTGACGGCTCAAGGGTGGCTATTCAAGGGCGCGGCACCATCATCTTCAAGTGCCAGAACAGGGAGCATCGCGCGCTAATGGATGTATATTACATCCCGCAGCTGCGTTCCAGCATCATCAGCATTGGTCAGCTGGATAAGCGCGGTAGCGAGGTACTGATCAAGGACGGGGTCCTTAAGATCAGCGACCGGGAGCAGTGACTTCTCGCCAAGGTGAAGAGGTCCCTGAACCGGTTGTACCTGCTCGACCTAAAGGTAGAGCAGCCGGTGTGCCTGGCGGCAAGGCACACCGAGGAACTGTGGATGTGGCATGCCCGGTTCGGACATCTCAGCTTCGACGCGCTTGGTCGGCTGGAGAAGATGGTCCGAGGGCTACCCCATATCAAGCACAGAGACGAGCTGTGTGATAGTTGCCTGACCGGGAAGTAGAGGAGGCTACCATTCCCAAAGGCGATCAAGTATCGCGTGAAGGACGCTCTCGAGCTCGTCCACGGTGACCTCTGTGGGCCGATCACGCCAGCTACAAACGGTGGTTTGTGGTACTTCCTCCTGCTCGTGGATGATTGCAGTCGCTACATGTGGCTACAACTCCTGACGAGCAAGGACGAAGCGACCAAGAAGTTCAAGATGCGCGCGGAGACCGAGATCGGCAAGAAGCTCTGCGTGCTGAGGACTTATCGTGGCGACGAATTCACTTCGGTGGAGTTCGCTGCGTACTACGTGGATCAGGGTGTGGAGCGACACCACACCACGTCGTACTCACCACAACAGAATGGCGTGGTGGAGCAACGGAACCAGACGGTGGTCGGCATGGCCCGATCCATGATGAAGGCCAAAGGCATGCCGGCAAGGTTCTGGAGGGAGGCGGTGACCACGACGGTGTTCATCCTCAACCACGCTCTGACCAAGGCCCTGACGGGCAAGACACCGTTCGAAGATTGGTATGGGCGCAAGCCGAGCGTGTCGTTCCTCCGGACATTCGGCTGCATCGGCCACGTCAGGAAGACAAAGCCAAACCTCACCAAGCTGGAGGACAGGAGCACACCCATGGTGTTCCTAGGCTACGTGGAGGGTACCAAGGCGTACCGGCTCTACGACCCACGCGGAGACAAGGTGCTTGTCTCGCGCGACATCGTGTTCGATGAGAAGGCGGCTTGGGACTGGATCAATCCGAGCATGGGGGAAGCTGGCGGCTTCACCAGCACCTTCGTCGTCGAGCACCTGGTCATCCATGGCGGTGGAGACGCTGGGGAAGAGGTGCCGAGCACTCCGGAAGGGGTGTCGAGCACTCCAGCGGTAGAGCCAGGCACTCCTGGGGCAGTGCCGAGCACTTCGGGAGGGATGACGAGCACTCTGGGAGGAGTGTCGAGCACTCCTAGAGGGATGTTGAGCACGCTAGGAATGACACCGGGAGGTTCTGTAGTGGTGGCGACCACTCCAAGACGGGTGCCGAGCACTCCCGTAACGGAGCCAAGAGGTCTTGCAGTGGTGCCAACCACTCTAAGACTGAGGCAGAGCACTCCTATAGTGATGCCGAACACTGCAGGAGTAGTGATGAGCTATCTAGAAGTAGTGCCAAACACTGCAACCAGGGTGCCGAGCACTCCAGGTGCTGTGCCGAGCACTCCGGCGGAACAGAGAACTCCATCGATGTCGATCTAGTTCGCATCACCTCTAAGTGACATCACTGAGTTCGTGGATGCCTTTCACAAAGGTAAGGAGGTGCGGTTCCGCAGGCTGGACGACATCATCGGTGGCACAGGACCCTCAGGACAGGCTAGTCGGCTGCTCAATGACGCAGAGCTACTGCTCGTCAGTATAGAGGAACCTGGCGACGGACGATGCTGCAGGAGATAAAGGTGATCAAGAAAAATGAGACATGGCAGCTCGTCGATCCACCTATAGGATGCCGTCCGATCAGCCTGAAGTGGGTGTACAAGGTCAAACGGGATGAGCTCGGCATCATTGTCAAGCACAAGGCGCGCCTCGTCGTCCGAGGCTTTTCTTCAATGCGAGGGCATAGACTTCAAGGAGGTCTTTGCGCCAGTAGCGCGCATAGAGTCAGTCCATTTGCTACTAGCCTTAGTAGCAGCAAAGGACTGACGCGTCCATCACTTGGACGTTAAATCGGCCTTCCTCAATGGTGAGATGGCGGAGACGGCCTTTGTCAGACAACCTCTAGGTTTCGTCGTCAAGGGAGAAGAGCACAGGGTGCTCCGACTACGCAAGGCGCTCTACCGGCTGCGGTAGGGCCCACGAGCATGGAACGCCAAGCTTGACGCCACACTGGGCGAGCTTGGGTTTCAATGGTGCACAACCGAGCACGCGCTCTACACGCGGCGACGGGGGAAGGAGGAGCTCATCGTCGGCGTGTATGTGGATGACTTGATCGTCACTGGCGCGCGCATGAAGGACATCAGCAGCTTCAAGCGAGAGATGGCGGCTCGTTTTTTAATGAGCGATCTTGGCGCACTCTTTTACTACCTCGGCATCGAGGTGAGATAGGGGAAGGAGGAACTCACGCTCGGTCAGAGTGCGTATGCCTCCAAGCTGTTGGAGCGGAGCGGCATGGCTGAGTGCAAGCCATGCGTGACTCCGATGGAGGAGCGGCTGAAGCTGACAAAGGCCAGCACCGCGGCGAAGGTGAATGCAACACTCTATCGGAGCATCGTCGACGGTCTACGCTTCCTAGTCTACATGAGGCCGGACATTGCGTTCACCGTGGGCTACGTCAGTCGCTTCATGGAGGATCCCAGAGAGAATCACTGGGCTGCGGTGAAGCGGCTACTGCGCTACGTCAAGGGGGCGGTAGATCATGGGATCATCTTCTCAAAAACCGACGGGAGTAGGCTGCAGCTCACTGTGTTCAGCAATGCAGACATGGCGGGGGACATCGACGGACGACGGAGCACCTCTGGCGTGCTCGTCTTCTTCGAGTCGGACCCAATTTTATGGCTGTCGCTGAAACAGAAGGTGGTGGCGCTATCTACGTGCGAGGCAGAGTACGTAGCGGCGGTCACAGTGGCGTGCTAAGTTGTGTGGCTGCGCCAGCTGCTGGGCGAGCTTACCGGCATGGAAGCTCACCCACCAGCACTGATGGTGGACAATCAGCCCGCCATCGCCCTCGCGAAGAATCCGGTTCTGCATGACCAAAGCAAACAGATCGACGTGAAGTTCCACTTCCTCAGGGACTGTATCGATGGAGGGCAGATCGTCATCGAGTTCGTCGAAACTAGTCGGTAACTCGCGGACGTCCTCACCAAACCGTTCAGACATCTTCGACTCACGGAGCTGAAGGAGATGATCGGCATGAAGGTGGTACAAGGGATAGCATAGGATTAGAGGAAGAATTGTTAGAATAATCTACTGCTTTCTTATGTGAACACAGAGCAAGGGGAAGACGCCGCCGAAAAGGCTCCCTGCTGCGATACTGTAGCTGTTGCAGGTGCAGGCGTCGAACGGCTCACCTGCAGTACTGTAGCCACATGCAGAGGCCGGCGCAGAGTCAGCCCTGTATGTTATCTAGTTACTGTTACAGCATGTGCGTTGTACTAGTACTAGATGGATAAAGTTATATAAATAGACTACCATGGCAACTCAGTAAAGAGAGTTCAGATTTGCCATCTTCCATACAGGACTTCGGCCAACGCTGGTGTCTTGTACTGTGTGTGTATGCTCTATTCTTCCTCTTCTTCAACCTCTAGCCATAGTGTGTGAGGACAAATAACGTTTGTTCGTGATCGACTGAGCTAGTGGGTGCTCGACAATACTAACGAATAGTCGGCAAGACTAATGACTGGTTCACTCACTGAGCCGATAATTCTATGGGCTAATAAGGTCTGCCCTGGTCACAGCCGGAGCCTGAGCGTCAGGTACGACGACGGGTGCCTCCTCCGTTACGCCGACGCGCCCTTCTTCGGCACCGCCGACACCCGCGACTGGATGTTCGTCTGGGCCGTGGCGTACGTCAACGTGACGGACGCGGCCAGGATGAACGAGACGAGGTGGCGGCTGCTGAGCGATCTCGCGGAGAGGGCCGGCGATGACGGTGCCCTGCGGCTGATGAGCGGGGGCACGAGGTACACGGACGCGCGAGGCGAGGAGCAGGTTCTGTACGGGTTCGTGCACTACACCAGGGACTTGGAGGCGAGCGAGTGCACCAGGTGCCTCGTGCTCGCGCTCACCTTGTTGTCCGAGCGCAAGGATTTGAACAGCAGCCTGGCGGGCTCCGTGAACTAATAATTAAATCGGTTAGTATATCACTCATCTTTTCTTTTCTCTGGTATTCAATGACTCAGGGGCTGCGCCTCCACTCGGATCTGAGGACGGAGATACTGAAAAAAAGAATAATGTAGAAGTGCTCGTTCTCGCTGCTTGTGTCGGAGCCGTCGTCTTGATGTTTGTCGCTGGTGTCAAGGAACTAAATAAAGCAGCGGAGGAGGCAGGCTTTTGATTAACCAGTCACTTGTTCACGTGGATTTAGAATTTTCGTCCAAAGATTAGAGTTGTCATTTCACTGTTTGTATTTAAGGTTATATGTTTTATACTAATTACGTTATATATTAAGCATTATCTTTTGATATTATCTTTATTGATTTGACTTTCTAAGCTCACGTATGGTGTGTATCTGGTTTTGTCCTTAAAACCAGGTGCTACACTTCGACTATAATAAACATATAGGCCCCGTTCGCTGGTCTGAAACTTAGCTGAAACTGACTGAAAAACACTGTTCCGGCTGAATTGTTGTGAGAGGAAAACACTGTTCCGGCTGAAAAAAGAAGCCGAACAAGCCGAATATAAAGTAAGCCGAACAGGGCCATAATCAAAGCAAACTATGAACATAATATAAATGAAGATTAAAGTCATGATATAGGATAAATGTAATGGACACGAGGGCTATACCAAAACCTCCGGTGACTAGATCCAGAATCCGAACAGAAGCCCGACTCTACTTGATCAATTTGGCTAAGCTATGCTAATTCTATAGTGATTTATGAGAGCTCGTCTCTTCTCTGAATGGGTCATCAATGGAGTGAATTGGGATGCCTCTCTCTGGAGGGGTCTGGGGGTCCTTTTATAGGGGGCACCCGGCATCTGTGGGCCCATGAATCCATGGAACGGCTTCATCTCGTCTCTCCAATTCAAACCGACTACAATGCATGGTGAAGATTGATCCTCAAGGTCGGTGGAGAGTCCACGTCTGAGGAGGGGTTGACATGTCGACCCCACAGGTTGGCCAACCAATGGGTTAGGGGGGGTCGGTCGACCCCCTCTGGTCTCCTCTGCCGTTGATATTTGGTGGTAAGTCACCAACGGTGGATGTGAGGCTAGTGGAGTCATTTTTGTTGTGGATCATCTTGATTTTCTGACATAGTATGGCCCACTTTGGTCCGTATTCTAAATAAATTAGCCTGCATGAAAATATTCACCAAGACTTGTGGAAATTGTTAGTTTGAAACCTCTAAACCTACGTTGATGTTTGATTTTAAGGATAAATGCAGGTGAAATTGATGGTTTATTTTTGTTGTAGCGACGGTCAACAAGACCCCCCAAGCTTAACCTTTGGTAGTCACTAAGCAAAGTTAAACTTAAATAATAGATTAGGAGTTGATACAGTGCTTTCACTCCTCAAAAGTACACATGCGTTCAATAAAAAAATTCCTTCTGATTGAAATAAACCGATTTAACTTTCAAACTCGCCTATATTACCTTCAACTTCCTAGGGCTTCTTAGCCATCACTTGGGTCTTGAGTAATTAAAAGACGGAGTGATCAAATCAAGTACTATGTCTCAAGTTCTTTTGCTCAACCATCGTTCTAGAGTTTTTATAAATTTTCAAATAAAACTCAAAGATTCTGTTGTATGACACTCTCAAGTCTTTCTATATGTGATATTTTTGGATCCTCACTAAGGCATATCTTGTTGTTTCTTTTTCTTCCTACAACTAAAGCTTTTGTAGAGCTCATAGGTAGGGAGAAAGCATGTACATACTTGCAATGCATATGTTGTAAAGCCAAACCTTAGATCCAAAGAGAAAAATATCATACGATCAAATCAAGATATACGTGTGTGTGGATATATGGTGGCTAAATATAATGGAGAAAACAAAACTTACTATGCACCTTGAAATATATCGCTCTCTTATTGAAACTTGGAATATTTTTTGAGAACATGAGATATATATATAATAAAGACAATCACAACATTGTAAATTGTCTTGGGTATACAATCTCAACATTGTGAACTAGTGTAATATACACTCTATTTTTATATATGGTTTAATTTACATGTAAAGACAATTCACATGTAAAGTGTCTTAGATTTTTGCCCTTGTTTTTTAGGGCTATTTGTGATTTTACCCTAATTTGGAATAAGACACATATATTGTATTTTGAAAATTGGTTATTATATTTGGTCAGTTCAGATTTAATATTGGACAAAATATTCACAATTCACATGTTGTGATTGTCTTTACATGGTTTAATTCACATGTTGGATAAAATATTCACAATTCACATATTGTCTATATTTGTGATGAACTAGTGTAATATACACTCTATTTTTAGAGTACGGTATGGTCACGTACGCACATAAATAAACCATGTAAAGACAATCACACATACTCTAGCCAATTGCACTTGTGAGAGTGCGACACCCTGTTGAGCTGTTATCCTTGTTTAGACAATCGATGAATTGCGGTGTCATCGATGTTTCTACTACGTCGATATCAATGAGTAGTGACAGTGATTAAACCACCTTATTATTTATTAATCGACCGTTAAATAAAAAATCCACACCTCAATCGTGGAAGCTCTCCTATCGCAGCTTGAGTCGTCGTCCCTTGTTTCTTCAGGTGAGCTTCGTCTTCTTTCTTTACTCTGCAAAAAAAAAAAAAAATCACCTTCTCACTTTGTTTTCTTGACTACCCCTGTTCAAAATTTGACCACTTAATTTTTTTAATTAGGTACAACTTTGGACGCACGCAACCCACACACTTCATACTCACACCACACGCACACACACGCGTGCACGTCCGTACACACGCAAAGAAAAGATCGGGAGGCTGTACAGCCTCCGGTGTGCGGGAAATGTGCAGAACCACCGAACGCACACGCGTGTGTACCCTAAATTTTCTGAAAAAATTCCAGAAAAAAATGCGAACACCAGGATTTAAACCCTGGTGGTTAGCGTCGAAAATGCTTACATAAGAGATGAATATGTGAGTAATATAATAGATGAATATTAACTACCCGGTTTTAGTATTATTTAAACAAAGCATGATGGGCTTGATTGGTTCGCTTTCAAAATTTGTCGTGCCAAAGATTTGGCTAGCCATGATTTTGACTAGTATTTGTTTTGCTACCAAAACTTACCGAGTTCTCATATTTGACTTGCCAAATCTTTAGCATGGTAAATTTTAGAAGTAGACCAAGCAGGCCCGTTATTCTCATGTAGTAATACTATATATACAGGACAACCTTTGATACCCATGTACTAATAGTTATTCAGTATCCCGCGACCCCCTGCACCAGGCCTTCCGCAGTCCGCACCCACCAGCCCTCCCGCACCAGGCCGTCCGTACCAGGCCCATGCTACAGGCCACGAGTACACACCTACTGAATCCAGCCGTTTTGTTTTTTGGTTTCTAATTTATGAGCTGGATCAGGATTTCGGTTTATACAGCCAGTTTTTGTTTTCATTTTATTTCTGAGCTAGATCGAGATTGCTTGTTTCTTTCTTTTTTTATTCCTGCTTGCTCCCCGTTTGCATAGCCAACCGCACATAATTAAAGCAACCTAATCCCAAATAAAACCATGCGTAGAGGGCAATTTTAAGACATTGGTTTTATAAATAATGGTTAATCTGAGACAAGTAGTAAAAAAAACTGAGATTTTTTTTACCCGAACACATTGTATATGTATACTAATAGCTTATATACAGTAGATTAGGTATGGAAGAATGAAATGTACTGCTCATCTGCTGTTTCGATCATACATATAGCTCGGCAAATGATAGTAATCTATAACATTTATCGCCACTTTCAAGGATTCGTCATATATGTACACAATACACTTTGGAGCGCCAGTAAAAAAGAATTGTATTTCATACATGTACACATTTTTGTCTCCATTTCTAAAACTTGAAAGACTGGGAATTGCCCAGTGCCCACTGAGAATATCTCCTTTCTATATTCATGCCACCAAATTTATTGTAAATTGAAGAGGCTGCATTTGTGCTGCATTAGGATAGCTTGTACCTACAACAATAAGATGTCAATATACCTTCTAAAACTCAGTAGTGTTAGGGTACGAAAAATAGTGTAGCTGCCTGGTCAAAGCAAGTTGTTAGTTTCTTTCATGTACACACATGCATCTCGTCTTGCTGGTGGTCATACCCATGATCATGTTGCTGCATATACATTGCTTATAATTATACATAGGGAAACCAAATATTCCCTTTTATTCATTGAAAGACAGTATTAACTTAGTTATTGTACTGCAGATATAAGCCTTTACTGTAACACTAAAATTGATTAGAATTTGAAAATACAAAACCGACCAGAACATAGGCTGCAAGGCAAGGTCGACCCGTTCTCATGATCTAAAATCCGAAGAACCTATAGATATAACTAATTTCATCAGTCCGCATCAGAGCTTTTAAGAGAAAGCATATGTTGCATAGAGAAAGCAAATACTAGAGTAAATAAAGAACCTTCTAGTTGAGCATATGAATGCAAATTTTATAATGTGTGACAAAAAATTAGTGAACCATAAAAACCTCAATTATTTGCAGCTAAACTAGCCTGAGATGAACTTATCCCAAGATGAACTTACAATTAAAGTGGACTCCTACAAATGTTGGGGAGTGAGCTGTAGGATCTGGATTCGAGTTTTGGAGTTTAGGAGCAATAATCCATGTGTAGAGCATCAGCTAAGCTATCTGGAGATCATTGAATACAGCCTGGGACCAGTCAACAACTCCGAACAATTGGTGATCCATTGTCCTCTTGATGTCAACTGAACCAATGGTGTTACTGCTGCTGGGAAGTAGAAGTCTGTTGCAAAGTATCATGAAGAAGCATCTCTTCATGAGGGGGTTCACATTTCCCTTTAAGATCTCTTGTTGCAGGTTTGATATATGTATGTCACAATCTTTAGTGAGACTTTGGTTAAGATCATAGATAAGCTGCTGGCGAAATATGATACCTTCCTTCCATGAGTATTGCTTGAAGTTTTCACCACGTATAGGCAAACCAAGAACCATGCTAATTATTTGTGGGGTGATAGGAAGGACCTTGCCTGCACCAATCCTAATTAGCATACGATCAGGGTCAGTGTGGTCTAATAACCAGGTTAGCAGATTCTTGTTCTCTACAGCATCGATCTTCATTCTCAGCAAATGACCAAACCCATCAGATTCGATAGCAGCATATTGTTATGGGTTCAACAAGTTAGTGGTGAAAATAACATCTCTGGGATTGCACCGAACATTTACAATGGAAGAACGGCTGGTAGCTCTCTTTTTCCTTTGTCTTGCCTCGGACAAATAACAAGAATTTTAGAAATAGTAAGAACAAGAATGGATAAAAAAGAAGAGACACTCGGAATTCTGAGAAGCACGGTAGAAATGATAAACTGATGCATGGGTAGTCGAGAAGAAGACAGATTTATAAAAAAAACTAATAATTGGGGAAAGGGATGTAGGAGTGATAAACTAATGCAGGGGTAGTGTAGTTGAAACAAATTTGCAGGGGTAGTAGAAAGCAAAACAGATATAGAAAATAGAGATTTGGCAATAAAGACATGATAGTAGATTTGTGGTATATTGAAGGAAAAAACAAACTAGTGATACATACGAAGAGGAGCTTTAGAATGATAACTCTTATGAAAAGAAAGTGTAGAAGTAAATAAATGGTATACACCTCTGTACATGCACCGGTCGACAATCCTGCTCGTGTTTGCCTAGTTTTCCTCGGACCAACATCCTTAGATTTGTCGATGTGTGAGGATGAACGTGTGTTGGGAATGGGCATGAAGTCGTGTAACACCCTAAAATTTGCCTCTTTTGGAAAATAGGTTTAAACGATCTAATTATGTATTTTGTGCTCATGAAATGTAGAAAAATAAATCAATAAATAAATTTCTTATGAATTTAAAATTTATCGCAAAGTAGCAACATGTATGTGCATTCATGCCGCTGCATATTTATTTTTGGGATGATTGGTCTTGATTCAAAGTTCAAATGAGTTCAAAATCCATTTGAAAATACTTTTGAAAAATTCTAAAAAAAAAGGGGCTTCTTCGTTTTCTTCTTATTCCTTCCTCGGTTTTGGCCCGCAGGCCTTTCTTTCCCGCTGGCCCAGCTCCCTTCTCCTCCCTGCGCACCACGCCAGCCCAGCTCGGCCAAGCAACCGCCGGCCCAGCACCGCACGCCTGCTCCCCGCGCCCAGCCGCTGACGCCCGGGCCCCACCTGTCGGCGCCGTCCTCGTCCTCCCGCTCGCCCCGCGCTCGGTCCTTCGAGTCAAGCGGCAACCGCCACCGCGCCCCCACTTCGGACGTGGGAGCGTCTCCCCCCGCGCCCCGGCCGCTACAAATGGGAGCCCGTACCCGCCTCCATTTCCCCTGCTGCTCCCTTCCCCATTTCTCCTCGCACTCGCTGCAGAAACCGCATCGCAGCGGCTCGTCGGATTCGCCGTCCGCCCTTCCGTGTCGCACGCCGTCCTTGTTCCGTCTCTGTCGCCGGTATCGCCCATGGTGAGCTCGCCGTGTCCTTCTCTGTCTCCCCGTGCATCTCTCGCATCGGTTCGTGGCTTCTAGGGCCAGTTGCATGTGCGCAGTCGAGCCTTCTCGCTGCCGGCCATGGCGCGCGTCGCGCGGGCCGATTCCCGGCCGCGCTGGACCCCGTGGAGGACCCGCCACCGTCCCCGCTTCCTCCTGGTGCCCTCGGTTGGGAAAACCGTGGCCCCTAGCCCCTGTACCACTCGCTCCGGCGACCTCCATGCCGCCGGCAATGGCGCCCCGCCGCGGCTGCCCCTGTTCCGGCGCCGGCGCCCCTTTCTCTCTCCCTCCCATCTGTTCTAGACCGTCCGATCTTGATCCAACGGCCACCGTTGGCCGATACCCTTTCGCGTGTAACTTTGCTAAAGAGACCCTCTGTTTTCATGTAATCGAACCCACCGTCCTTAGCGCATTTCCCCGAGAACGCTCTCTCGTTTGGAAAGCGTAAATTTCACTGTTTTAGTTCAAAATACGTTTTCAGTATTTACAGAAATGCCACTAGAATTGTTTTGCTCATAAAAACTACGTTTTAGCTCCGAATTGATCCGTTCAAATTGCATTAGCTTCGTAATTTCATAAGCTACGTGTTAGTACCACTGTTACTCAATTTTGTAACTTTTAAATTTCATGGTTAGGTTTAATTAAATAAAGTACTATAGGAAATGCCGTTTAATTCATAAGTTCCGCGTTTTAGCTCCGTTTTTCGTGAACTTCGCGTTAACGTGATCATAGCGAGATGTAGATTATTTTTACAAACATTTTATCTTATTTTCAATACCGTTGGTGTACTGTTCTAATGATAGGAATGTTTGCTTTGCATGAATGCTTTTGGAATGTTGTATGTTGCCGTGTTGGTCGCGTTCAGACGGTGAGGAAACGTTGGAGACCCAGAACTCTTCGACGACCAGCAGGACCAACACGAGTTTGTGAACCAAGGCAAGTATAACATGGGCCTTCCTTGATGTCCTATTCACCTTAATCAATTACTCATTTGCATGTGTCTAATTTTGATACCCGTAAGGATATCCTAGTGATTGTTTATCCTGTTCCTTGTCTCCTATGGGTTAAATGCATATGGGTAGATTGCTAGTGCTCTAACTGAACTTGACATACATGATGATGAATGATACTATGGAACAAAGTGAGTAACATGATTTATAACAACTGTTCCATAGGGCGAAAGTGTAAATGACCTTTGTTCATGTTGCTCTCGGCCCTCCATAAGGACTTATCTGTCGGCAAAAGCTGGGACTGTCAGTGCAACCGTGAGGGTCATATGGCTCTGACTTTAGCTCAGTAATAGGATCTTTTCTAGCTTGTTAGAGGTTACCTTTATGGCGCAAATGGGGCTTGCCACGTTGGGTATAGGACCGCCTGTTCCTATGTGTATAGCCATGATGGATATGTGCCATAGGAAAGGGGGTTCCTACATCTGCACCTGCCAAGGAAACCTAGCGGCCCTAACTTGTTAGGGAAACCTATGAAATGGCTTCATAGTGTACCCCGCCCGCTCACCTTGGAAGTGACATGGGAGTAATTAACCCGGGCATATGGGGATCACGACTCATGGTGAATGCACCACCTCTGCAGAGGGTAACAAACTATTATACCGTGGTGCCGTGCTCACGGTCATGGCGGCCGGAAAACTCACGTAATAGATGGCTACTTATAATGTTGTTTATACTGAGATGATTATGATGATGTCACATGACTCAATTGGATCGGATATATGATCACGTGGGTTTAAAAGGGAGCTTAAGCATAAATTAATAATAGATGAGGATAAAATCTTGAATCTACTAAAAGTGCTAGCTGCTGCAGAAACCAAAGTGTCATCCTTTTTGAGCCTCATGAACCCCATGTTATCTTGTTAAGTCACGGACGCATTTACGCTTGTTTAATTTTCAATATTTGGATAAAAATCCCGGATGGGTAACAGAGATGACAACGGATATAAGGAGTTTCACGAGGATTATTAGGCTTGTGGTCAACCAATTCGACCGTCCTCGTGATGGAGTTCCACGAGAGAGTTATCTTTTATCTTCCATTTGTGTTATGTAAGTCAATGTGATGCTATTATTCGTTATGTAAGATACACCGTGATGATACTTTTTATAATTTGTCAACTTATGTGTGTGACTGATCCCTGGGCACACATGAGTTTAGTGCATTCAATTTTATCCTTAAAATTGGGTGTGACAAGTCGTCGTCATCACTGTCGTGACCAGCCGCAGAAGGCAACACATGCTCTGGTCGAATATGATGCTCAAACCTAAAAAAAGGCCACGAACAGATAAACTTTAACAACAGACTAAGAATTAACATTAATCGGTGATTCTCGGAAATAAATAGAATTATAATAAATTGAAACACGTATGAACCTATCCTGCGAGCTCTCAAAAACCACCCTCTTAAGGTTACACGGGACCCTATCCACAGTACGCTGAGCAGCATGAGTCCTACAAACAAATAGAAAAAAATGATCCATGAACTTTTAGGAAAAAAATAAAACCAGGGGTATGGTTAAATAGGAGATAGGAGGAGATTTTTTGTGTAGCATGTTAGTACAGAATATACAAATTGGAAGAGTACACTGATATGCCTCAGACAATTATGATTGGTGGGAAATTTGGTACACAAGATTGTAAGAAAACAATACCTTCTCTGAGAGTGGTCACGGGAAGTAGGTGCTACCGTAGGGTTCTTAGAAGGGGAATGCCTTGCATCTGAATACCAAAAGAACCAGACAAGGAAAATAATAAACAACAAAGGTAGATGGTTTTAAAGAATAGAAAAATCTTGTGAGATAACTGCAGAGATATATTACACATACACATGGCTGAAAAGAGAAATTAGATTACCACTATTACCACTAGTATTCCTACTGCTACAGAGTCCATAACTACTACTAGTAGTTCAAGCATATTTAGTTGCAGCATTAGATGAAGCGGATAGGCACACAACTCATGTGAAAAATGCTAAAATGAACCATACAGAATGCATACTGAATCACTGAATGTGTGCACGACATAAACAGATTACTTATTTTAACTATGCACTAAATTTATAAATAATCAGGGCTTAAGTGCCATCTACCTGAACACCCTCTTGGAACTTGAATTGTTCTTTTTTGTAAAAAGCATTAGCACAAATAAGAAAGAAGCATAAATATGAGCCCATCTCCAGTAATATCCATATCTGTATTTTTGTCATCATATTTAAATTAGTTTATCCTATTTTCTTTAGATAAACATCTATCTTTGATCTAGATTCTAAAGAATATTTTGACCTATTGATCAAGATATCTTGAAAATTCTCTCTATAATATCCATAGCCTTGTATTTTTCCTACAAATCATCAGAATTCCAATTTAAGATAGTATGAAAGTGGAATCAGGAATAGTAGGATAGTTGTCTGCCATTTGATTAATGATTTCTGATCATGTACACAGTTTAGTACTTTTTCATTTTATAAATTGTGCTCCAAACACATAGTTAAATTCAGAATAGCAGCACAGGCATTTAGAACATAGATGGAGGAACGCATAGTTGCATATGGAATAGTCCACACAAACATGTTGCTTAACTAAGTCTAATAGTTGCCCCCCAATG